CTTCTTGTGCTTTTACAGCAGTTTGATCAAGTTAAAGCACAATGAACTGTTTGATGTTACCTTAACAGGTTGGTGATTTTGGTCTTTCACGTCTTAAGCACGATACATTTCTCACAACCAAGACTGGGAAGGGCACGGTATTTCAACTCACACCACTATATCCTCTTTACGAATTATAGTAAAGCAGTCAGTCTAAATGTTACTACATGAGGTTCTCACATAAATATGCCAACTTTCTCATTTGCAGCCTCAATGGATGGCACCGGAAGTTCTACGTAATGAACCCTCAGACGAGAAGTATGTTGTAATTGTTCATCTAGAATATATTACCCTTAAAAGCGTCCTTGTCCTTGTACGGCTTCTCTAAACTAAACTCGTCTCTCTTCGTGGTGTTTGGAACTTCGGACGCACACAGGTCTGATATATACAGCTATGGGGTGATATTGTGGGAGCTTGCTACTGAGAAGATCCCTTGGGATAATCTGAACTCAATGCAGGTATTGTTTTCTTTGCGAAAAAACTCTTGGTAGTATCTTTTCAAATATGTTGCGTGCGCATATGAACAGCAATTTATTTGGGGTACTTGTAGGTGATTGGAGCTGTAGGGTTCATGGACCAAAGGTTAGAGATCCCAAAGGACGTGGACCCGCAATGGACTTGTTTAATTGAGAGCTGCTGGCAGAGGTAGTAATTCTTTCCATGCTTCTTGGTTCATTTCCAAGTTGAATTATTTTAGTTTCCTTCTTTGTGAAAACTGTAAACTGAAAACGAAATAGTTATTGAACGACAGCCCTTTTAACTTTTTAAGAATCAAATGTTGGCAAAACGGCCAATGTGCTGATATTCCAACTTCTTCAATGAAAACCAGTGATGCAGCTTCCAGGCCAACATTTCAAGAACTGCTGGAGAAGCTCAGAGACCTGCAGAGACAATACACTCTTCAGTTCCAAGCAGCGCGTGCCGCCGCGGGTGATAACACCCCGAAAGAATTGTAGCCCCTCCCGCGTGAGCTCTGTGTGCATTAGTGTTCTCACCACTTCCATATCTCCTACCAAATTGTGGATGAATTTGTAATGAGCTACAGACATCCCACAAACGGCATGTCGTATTGGAGCCACAAAGTTGGAAAGTCAGTTGGCACTGGCAGAAACGGCATGGCGTATTAGGATAGGATGGTTGATGGGTGGGTGTAGTTGTGCGACGGGGAGGGTCATGTCGGTTGGATTGGATGACATGATAATATGTCACCAGTTTTTGTGATTTATAAAAAAAATGTTGTACAAAATATGAGAAAAAGAAAAGAAAAGGGTAAAAATACTTGGCAGTGAGTTATTCATTTGAGTAAATAGAGTGATCAATCTCTCTTTTGCATTATTTACCTTCTCTTTTACTTCCACTTTTGCTTTTACCATTTTTAGACGAGATGATGATCTCATTAATTTATTGGATGTTTATTATTGATCTACTAGTAGGCAATTATTTTGAATAAAATTTGAAATTCAATGGGTTCCTTGTTGATGTGATTTGCAAACAAGCATGTAAACAAAACTATTTCACCACAAAACTTCGGTCATGCTAATTGTTAAGTGATGCAATTTAATTCAATTTGAGCTAAAGCTGAAAAGCCAAATCAAACCAAAGCACTATTTGATTATTTCGTTTGATTTGGTTGGTTTGGTGGTGTGAGTTTAAACTCAATTTTCTTTTGATTTTTGCGTTTTTCTGCTTGATTTAGACGATCTATATAAATAAATAAAAGTGTGGTGACGGTTTTATGTAGGCTAAGCCCAACAAAGTACGGTTTCATTCAATTTGGTCCAAAAACACATTTTATAGTGTTAAAAGGTTAAGGGGTGCTTTGATCCAGGTCCAAAAAAATTGAGCTTTGTTGAATTTAATCCAATTTCTCTATTTTTCAAAGGTTTAAATGGTTCAATCACTTCGGCGCCCACACTACCGTTGCAAATCCACATTGGTATTAATGTTGCAGGTCAATTGAGGAATTCTCTAATTTGTGCCAATAAGTTGATAACACCGCAGAAGAAAAAGTGTTTTGAGAAAGAAGTCTACTTTGAAGATGGGGTTTCATAATTTGATGGCAACACACAAATATGAAAACACTTTATAATTGTCATGGAATCTAATCTTAGGAATTAGGAATAGGACAGCCACTCCCGCCACAGGTCTAAATAGGCCTAGCATTTTGAACCCAACCTGTTAACCCGACCCCACCCAACCTGTTAATATTTGTATTTGGGTGAATGCTTAACGGGTCGGGTCGTTAACGGGTGAACCCATTAACAACGCGTTAAATAACAGGTCACTTTGGGTCAACCCATTAGACCCGTTAACACCCGTTAGCACCCATTAGTTGAGAATATTTTAATAATTTTAGTAAAGTCTTAATGACAAAAAATAAACTTTATGCAAAAAATAAAAATAATAATAATTGTTAACAGGTGTTAACGGGTGAAACGGATGACCTGTTAGCTTAACGGGTCGGGTTCAGATGACCCGTTAGTTTAACGGGTTGGGTTCGGATGACCCGTTAACTTAACGGGTCGGGTTCAACCCGCCCCGTTTACAGGTCTAAAGGTAAAGGCTACCTCTTGGTGACCTAACAATTTCCATTAAGTGCTAAAATAGTTCAAGTCGTAAGGAGCTTGTAGTTTAGTTGGTTATCCATCCTTGCATTGTACCGAGGGCTTGTGTTGGACTCCCCTCCCCCAATACCGCTTGTATCCAAAAAAGAAATAAATCCAAGTCAACTGATGCCAACAATTTATCCTAACAACTCACAATACAACAATGTAATTGTAAATTCCATATCCGAAAGCATTGAAGAAGAAAAAATTGAAGGAAAAGAAACCCAAATCTTATCATATTGATTTTCCCAAGGGTGATTCATTTTCTAGCGAAGCAAGTGTCGAATGGCAGCGACGGCATCGCCTTTGTGCTCCCGCAAGGTCCTCTCGGCAACCTTCTTGTCCAGCTCTAGCTCATTTGCAATTATGTCAACGTCACCGGCATTGATCTTCACTGCAGCCAATTCCTTCTCCCTGTAATGTGTAATGAAAAAAGCTTGACAATACGAGCGTGACAGTCTCAACAAATAACATTCCATCTTATGCTTACGTTGGACGTCATAAGATGAAGTTACTACAATTCACAATATCGGAAAATATAAATTTACTACTGCCTCACCTTCAGTTTCGTCCAAAACCCCAAATCAAGTCAACAAATTATACAAATTCCGCGACGACAATCGTTAATGTTAGTGAGAAACAGTTCAAGAAACGAACTATATAAAATGTAATTCCTCACCTATCAACTAGTAACTATTAATGTCGGGTGCAATAACAGTCAGCATTCAGCTTTTTTCTCTTCAAATTGGTGATTTTTAAGTGCATCTAACCATTATTTTCGCAAAGAGCTTGTAACTCACTTGGTTAAGAGCATTCCACTCGAGGTCCCGAGTTCAATTTTTCCCTCCCAATTATCGCTTGTATATTATAAACTATTGCTTTCAAACCCTTACTATTCAGTAACCAAAAAAAAAAAAAAAATCCAATCTTTTAATAGCATATGAATCAAACTAGAAAATAAGTTAAAGCCAATATTGAAAAATTTGATTGATAAAAAACTTAGAGCGAATTGGAATATACCGACCTCAATCGCATAGCATTCCAGTCGGCTTCGGAGGAGGCCGCGATGGAAGCCATGGCCTCCTGGACGCGGGTGGAATCAAGCTGTCGATCCTCCACGCGGTCGGTGAGCTTATCGAAGGCTTTGCTCTGCTGCTGCAAGTCCTTGGAGTCCACCACCATCTCGACTCCTTCTTCTCCACCTCCCTCCATTTTTGTGGTTCTGATTTCGATTGCGGTTTCTTCGTGTGCTTCTCGCAGTCCAGAAACTGAAATTTGTAAACCCCTTTTGTTTTCTGAATGAATTTGGTAAAAACCCTAGCTTTTGCTCTCTTTTGAGAATTGAAGACTTGGAGTAGTGGCGAATGGTGGTGGCTGAGAATTGGGGACTGAGGACCATGTCAATAGTGGGCTAGAATTTGGGAATGGCCCAACAAGAATTAGATTGGGTAATCAAAAGCCTGTATTAGGTGCAAAATCATTTGGATATTTACTAATAGATGACTCTCTGATGATCTCCAATCAAAATGGTTAAATATAACTCTGTCTAGAATTATAGTCTTGCAAAATATTATTTTTAAATGAATAATGTCAGACTATATTCATATACGATCTCCAATCGAAGGGGCTAAACATAACCCCTCAATCATTTATTAGTTTTAAGTTTATACTTTAAATTTATTAATTAATTTAACTAAAACATCTTTATATGTTTTCAAATCTAATCGTTAGATTTGAATTAATTATTGTAACTGTGGAGCTGAGCTCCAAAAAAGAGGCTAAAAGGAGGGTTATATTTGGCTAGCCTGATGCCATTTGGCCAAATAATGGTATGGTAGATTCCATAAAAATATAGCTCAGTTTTCGGTTGAAGTTGAAATTTTTGAAAAAATAAAGTTATTTTTTATTTTATTTTTGAACCTTTAATCCTCTCCGTATGACCTAATTAAATGTCCTTAACGTGCTAGGGCTATAATAGACTGTCATGCCTTATATAATGTAGCATGCTTAGTGGTTGAGCACAGAGCGGGTGGGACAGCACAGGGACAGCCAGTGGCAGGGACTACGTACAAAATTCTGTTCCACCGGCTAATTATGATTATTTGTCAGAATGAGGTTTGAATTTTGCACCATTTCATTAATCATGTTTCGTAGAAATTAGTCCACAACTTAAGCATCCAACTGCATGCATTTATGTTATAGTCTTCTTCCTGAACTACAGTACTGTACTCCATGCTTGCTTGCACCACTATAAATATTCGATGGTCGTTACCCAAGTTTATCAAACCAAACAATTCACGATTCCCGTTTCCTATATATCGATCTCTCTTTAATTTATTTGCTATTGGGGGAAACATGGGGAAGTTTTCTAAGTTTGTTGGGTTGTTTGCTGTGATGTTTGTAGTGGTGCTAGCAATAGCTGAGTGTCGTAAGATTGAGAAAGAAACATTTTCTGAAGGCCTAGGAGGTGGTTTAGGTGGTGGTGCTGGTGGGGGATTTGGTGGTGGTGTAGGAGGTGGAGGCGGTGCTGGTGGTGGCTTGGGAGGTGGTGCTGGGGCTGGTGCCGGAGGTGGAGTTGGCGGTGGAAGTGGAGGTGGTGCTGGTGGGGGCTTTGGAGGTGGCAAAGGTGGCGGTGTAGGAGGTGGATTCGGGGGTGGTGCCGGAGGTGGGGTTGGTGGTGGAAGTGGAGGTGGTGCTGGTGGGGGATTTGGTGGTGGCAAAGGCGGCGGTGTAGGAGGTGGATCTGGGGGTGGTGTTGGAGGTGGAGTTGGTGGTGGAAGAGGAGGTGGTGTTGGAGGCGGAGTTGGTGTAGGCGGAGGCGCTGGGGGAGGTGCAGGTGGTGGTGTTGGAGGAGGAGCTGGTGGCGGAGGTGGTGCCGGTGGAGGCATTGGGGGTGGTGCAGGTGGTGGTGTTGGAGGAGGAGTTGGCGGTGGAGGTGGTGCCGGTGGAGGTGCTGGTGGAGGCTTTGGGGGTGGCAAAGGTGGCGGTGTTGGAGGAGGAGTTGGCGGTGGAGGTGGTGCCGGTGGAGGTGCTGGTGGAGGCTTTGGGGGTGGCAAAGGTGGCGGTGTTGGAGGAGGAGTTGGTGGCGGTGCTGGTGGAGGGATTGGTGGTGGAGTTTAACTCCCAAATTTAGCTATAGGCTATTCCTAGCTAATGCTATCATGCAAAGTCGTACGTGTAAGACTCCATGCATGGAAATTGTATTACCTTCTACTACTAGAGAATAAACGAAGACATGTAACGTGCCTAGGTATTACCTTTTGCTGAAGAGGGGAGTGCAAATATCCCATTTATGTGATGAAATGCTACTGCATCATTAAGATTAAACAAGGATATGGTCAGGTCCTCATGTGCACTTCCAATTTCACACTTTTCTTTCCTCTCCTGGACCCCAAGCAACAACATTAGCATTCTGTGCAAACACTTTGTTCACAATTTTTCTAACTTAGGCACAACCGAATTGTCAAATACCATAATTTCCTTAAACTATCCGTACTCATAGAAACACGAATTCATGGAAAGATCAAATTTCTCATGATTAAACAACAAAGTTTGAACAGTTACTGGCATCGTATAATGTCAAACAGTTTGGTAATTCTATCCAAATTAACCTAATATATTGAGCACAGAAGGCTGACAATCTGAATTGACAAGGCTAGAATGTTAACACATAAGAAATATTATTTTTCTTGACATGCAGTAGTCCATCAGATTGTAGCATTGATTGGATTTGGACAGAATTATATATCTGAATGTTATTTTGATTAATACAACATGCGGTTTACATTTTGTAGGGAAGGAAACTTATCAATCAAACATATGATCGCCTCTTGCACTCATCACTGTAAGCTCGGCCCCCTCGGCACATAAATTAATTTACAGCCAAACTGGCAGCCATTCCTGGCCATTGATGAAGTCGATAGACAAGAAGGGTGCAACTTCTTTTTCGGTGAGTTGTCTCGCCCATTCGGCACGCCCTGTAGCCTCAGCTCCTGGCCCTTTGCACTTGTACTCGGCATGGTATAAGTTTCTGCAGATTTCATTTTATTCACAACAAATCAAATCATAAATTTAATTGGAATATTTTTTTAATGCAAACATGTGTGTTTGATCAATTATTTAGGTGCATGTTTCTTACTCAGTTCCGCCGGAATAGCTCCAGTTGGTCCATCCTTGTGGCACGACAGTCTTCGAGAGGTACATGTTTGCATAAATCACTCTGGAGAAAGCACCCTTTGCCCTACCTAGGTACACACTGTCACCAACACCATAGAGCTTGCCTTTGTTAAAAACAAATCCACTGTTCTCCTTCTCAGTCTCCCTATTTTGAGCTGTCACGGACCCCTTGATCGACACCCTCTTGTCTCCGATAACAAAGACCTCGCAGCTCTGCATGCATGGATGCATCCATGATTAATTAATTAGTCCAATCTATGACTTTTTTGGAGCGCTAATAACAAGTTTCAAAATTAATTATGAAGGTAATGAAGTATAGTATTACTTACGTGGAAGACAGATCTACCACGGCCAAAGATGAAGTCAATGGAGCCCTGGATGTAACAATTATCATAGTAATGTCTGCCCTTGTAATCGAAGAGGGTGTTATGGGTACTGTAAAATCCACAATGGTAGAATGCAACTTTGTCTGCAGCTACAAATGCTGCAACTGACTGGTTCTGCGAGGTGTAAGCCACACCGGTCGGGGCCTCATTCTGCACAACGTTGCATAATTTATATATGAGACCTATAAACGTCATTTATGTATATAGGGATCCGGAATGTTCACGCCAAGTTATGTTGCTAGATTGCAAATCTAAACCGTTGATGGTATGTTAATTCATATTAACATTTGTTTGGCAATATAAATCGGCAAGAAAACATTGCCGTGCTCAATAATTTTTAAATATACAAATATACAGAAAAAGAAAATAAAGATGAACCTTGAAGCTGATCCCGAAGGCAATGAAATTGGGAGCTTCGACACTGAAAGTAGCAGATTCGACATTGTCCGAAGAGCTTTGTGACCAAACAATGGCGGACCTGCCCTTCCCATTTCCTCTCATGAATATGTAGGGCTTATTACGTGGTATGATCACCTTTTCTCTGCCAGCCAAAACATATATCCATTAGATAACATGCATAATTAAACTTGTGAATTATTCATAGCTAGTTTTGCTTTAATTTCACAATTCACCGAGTAATTAATTGATGGTTCAGTTACCTGTACACTCCTTTCCTAACATGGATGATGATCCATTGCTTATTGCCTTCAGGAACAGCATCAATGGCTGCTTGAACAGATGTGAAATCTCCCTTGCCGTTGATGTCAACCTTAAGCGTGCGGTTCGTGTGAATCTTCTGAGTCAATAAGGGGGAATCTATTACCTTTTGTGCGGTTAAGCCATGAACAACATTCGTGAGAGTTACTGAGGTGAAAAAAATGATTGCAAAGGTGATGAATGTTGTGGACGAAGACCAAGCCATGTTTCTAGGGAGAAACACAATCTGCAGTTCGGGTGAATTAATAATGTTCACCTAGGGGGGATTCTTTTTGTGAGGCAATGAGGTTCTCAAAGTGAAGGGGGGCTTTTATTCATTTACGGGTGCGGTTGTTTGGAAAAATTGAGTGTACATAACAAATTGAAGCTGGAAGTCAATTGGCTAACAAGATTCTAACTATTTTAGAGGGCCGGCCGTTGGTTTAATTTCAATTATTTTTGTTTTTCATGAGCAATCCAAGATAGCCGGTTATTGTGCACTCTAAAACGAAAAGAGATACAAACACAAACAAAAATATCCCCCGTTATATATGAGTTATAACTCTAAAATAAGTGTTTTAGAAGAATTGCGATGCTGACTCGGATTGTTTATGTTAAAATTTTGTTGTGCAATTATAAGACACATCTTGAAGCTTAATAAGGAAAATATATTTTCATTTGTCACTTTTAATATAGGGGTGTGATATCCACACACCCTATTTTACTTCTTACACACCTTTTTAATTTTCTACCGTCAGATCGGATGAATTGAAGAAAATCAATGAACAGAAATTATCAAGGGGTGTGTGAGAAGTAAAATGAGATGTGTGGATAACACACCTCTTAATATATTGTCATTCTTTGAGCGGAATATCAGGATGATGACTAAGTATGATCGTACTACAATTTTTTTCTTCTGTTTTAGCGTATGAACATATCGTACACAAAACTGCATGTCCACACCATTAATGTTACACGTTAAAAAAATGAATAGTATAGCGTGACGACGTTATTTGGGTGAAGATTAATGGGCTCGCGTAAAATCTTTAAATCTGTCCAAATCATTGAGAACTGAATATTGCATTCATAATGCAAGTTTACCATGATCAGGTGAACAGAAAGTATGCTACATTACACTTGTATTGCACCAAACCCTTTTGTATTTGTTTGATTAGGATGATGCGCCAGATTGTCTTTTTAGGTCATATTTGTAGACAATATAATGTAACCGTTGATGATTATATTTTTTCTTTAAATCACTAAAAATGAAATCCAATCAACAATCGACACATCATATAGTTTACAAAATATAGTATAAAAAGATAATCTCTTATCGTTTTTTGAAAGACAAAGCATGGTCGTGGACTTTTGCTAGGTGTGGGATTTTACTGCGCCAACAAATGTCCGAGCTCCCTATGTTAATATTTGTTTGTATATATGCTATCGTAGTTTAAGAGCAATATATGTCTGCAGTCCATATATATATAGTGATTGTTTATAAAATAAGATACCATTGGAAAAAATGAAAACTAATGAAAAGGGTTTGAAAACTTTAAGTTTTAATGATAAGGACAAAATAAAGGGTAAAGTGAATAGTACCAGGATTGACTTTTTAGTGTAAAAATATGGTTTTTCGTTAAAATGAACAGTACCAGGTACTTTTCGTTAAAGTTCCCTTAGGAAAAAGCTTAAAGCTTATACGTGGCTGTATATATAAATGTGTAGATGGGTCCTGCATGCATACAACATTCTAAGAAGTCCAGTTTGCATAAATGGTTCTGGTAGTTTTTCCGGATTTTCCCACATCTAATTTGTTAATTTATTACTTCTGCATTTTCATCCTAGTAGTTTTGTTTTGTTTCTTTTTGTTCAATTTGTTTACTAATCAGTTGATGTTTTCATCCGTTTTGTGAATAATATCATTGATGCACTTTGACAAAGAGAAGATCAGACAACGTTAATCTTAAAGAAGGATATTGGAATATGTGAGAATGTGAAGGTAAGCTGCTCCCACATTGGTGAAAGAAGAAACCTTACAAGGATGTATAAGAGGTTGGACTACTTCTCATATTACAAATTTGTTTTAGGGTGGAACCCAATTTTCTTCATGATATCAGAGCTCCATAATGGAATCCCAACTTCCAGAAGTATGAGAAAATCTCAAAGATTGAATAATTAGGGTAAATTACATAAAACTATCTCAATTATTAGGTCAGTCACAGTTTCATACCCTATTTTTAAAAAATGTCAATGTCATACCTCATCTTATAATTTGTTACAATTTCATATATTCCGTTAGTTTGTCTGTCAATGCTTCCGTTAAATAATGACGTGGCTTGAGACGGAACCCACTTTCAATTCCAACCAGATTAAAAAATTAACTAAATATTAAAAAAATAATAATAAAGGTTTTTTATATTAGCACCCTGTAAAATGTTGAATGCACCCCACATTAAAATTTAATATTAAATGACTTATTTACCCCACTATTGTGACGACCCATCCCTAATTTTCATATGTAATTTCTCCCGAGTATGTAATTTGACGATTATGCCACTTATTGGCAAGTGATGTGGACGTATTCTTATCGCTTTCATTTTATTTCTCGCTGTCGCATTTAAATTGTACACGCTAGTACGAGTATGCGTAAATTTTAAAGTGTAAAAATATCACTTCGGATAGATTTCGATTTCCTTTAACTGTAGGAAATCCGAAATCATATCCCTTGGATTCCCCTTTTATCCTACCTGTGCATCCCCTCCATTATTTACTCAACCAATCCCATCTATTCCTGCACCCTATTAGAAAAGCATCCCATCTCTCTCTCTCTCTTCTCCCTTTCCCTTGTCGAGTTTCTTCTTCTTCCTCTTTGCAACCTTCACAAAAACACACCAAAACTCACAAACGTGGAAAACTAACTACACCATTGTGATCATCTCAGTCCCACGATCACAGCCATGTTCTTGAAATCTAGTGTAGACGAGTTTTGACTCACCAACTCGGAAGGTTGACTCGGCGAGTTCGACATATCGATTTTCAGGCCATTCATGGCCTAGGTAAGCCTTGAGAAACTCTTAGAACCTTCATTTCACTTCTATGGGTTGTTATTGATCTCTTGTTTGTGTCTTGAACGTATGGTTTTACCTAGAAAACTCGAGAAGAAGGAACCTGCACGTTTTTTAGTCAAGGACCGTATCTGGGCTCCTACTAGGTACAAACTTGTTCTCTACATTCCTAACTTCAAAATGGCTTTTGAATCACTGAGTTTGGTTAAGTAATGAGTTAGAAATCAACTCTGCAAGTTGGAAAGAAAATTTCAGTTTTTTGGAAAATTTCAACCGTGGTTGTTTGGCCACTTTCAGGCCAAATTTCTAAACAACACGGATCATATTTGAACTTTCTGTGAAATGGGATCGATATATCACATTCCTAGCTTTAATTTGACTTTTGTAAAAGTGATTTTGGTTGAGAATCAAGCTCGTTAGGAGCCCTGAAAGTTGGCCCAAAAATCTGCAAGACTGCAGAAAATCGCAAGGAAGGCGAGTGCACTGTACTCGCGGGCGCGTGGGTCGCGCGTGGGCATTCTGTGTAGCCCCTTTGGGCGGTGCGTGAAGGCGCGTCTGGCCTCTGGCCTGCATGTGGTCAACACGTGTGTGTTCATGTCGTCGAGTAGATCGATTTCATATATTTAAACCCTAGGTTTGAGCAAACTATGGGGGTTTTATTTAGGTTTCCGTTATGTGCTTTAATTAATGTTATTTTAGTTATTTCACATATAAGGGAAACTTATCCCGAGGATTTATAAGGCCAAGCTAGGCTCGGGGGCTACTACCTAGTGACGTACTTGTGAGTGGGCAATTTATTTTTATACCTAGACATATTATAGTTTCCATAAATGTGTATTTACTTCATTTTACGCCTATATTGCCTAGTATCATTAATGTGATATGAATTGTGATAAATGCTGCTATATGGTTGTGATATTACTGTCATGGCATTCATACATATTTCTACATGCTCATCTTGCTGCACTCAGTGTTAGTATTCGCCCTAGGGCCAGGGCCAGTCCTTCGCGTGTATGTTCATATTCGCACCGTTCACTCACCTTGGATCCAAGTTAGGTGCCAGTCTTGTCGGGTAGATTGCATTAGGCAATCTGACTTGTATGTGATGTGCTTCTGCACCAGTCTTCACGTGATCGTAGTACTAGAGCATATTGATTACACCCAGTCATGTTCGTGTCAGAAATGATCTGTTTGAACTTGTGTGTTAGCTTAGATGGATAAGCACTTAGTTATAGTTGATTATCACATGATTATTACCGTGGCATTTGATACATCATTACTTGGCATATTCCTGGTTATATTACTGTTATAATATTATCGAATTATCATTTATATACTTGAGTACTATGTTTTAAGGAAACTATACTTGTTTTACGGCGAGGGGTTAGTATTTTCAAAGTTAAAGGTTTTCTTTTAAGCATTGTTTTGTTGACCCACTCAACTTTATTTTTCGCCCCTCCAGGACCTAGATAGCTATACTCTTTGTGGCACTCGAGGAATTCCGGCAGTTCTGACATTTCCTTCTGTTTTAGACGTACGGACTTATCACTATTATGTAATAAGTGTACTTTGGTTGTTTTGACTATTCTTCTGTAGTCTCACTGTCTATTACGCTCTGAATAATTCTAGTGGGTTTATCCCATGATTGCGCACTCTTTCACTGTTTAGTCTTAATTATTTTAATTTTATTCACTTTTTGCATCACTTACCCTTATGGTTACGTCACCTCACGGTGATGGCCAGCATGCTTTGACCTTTCTAGGTCGGGGTGTGTCAACTATGCAATGACAATTTTGACCTTATTAGGTTTTAAAAAAAATAAAAATTTCTAAATACATCCCAAATCACTTTTAGCGTATTATTTATCTTCTTAACTATCAAAACCCTCACACCCTCCATTATTGAATAAAACCCTAACCAATGAAACTACAAACATGTTGATTGAGAAAAATTGTTTTTGACGAATGAAACATGAAATCGATGTTTCGGAAGCTTCACAAGAGGTAAGACTTCATATTTTTCATTGTTTTAGTGATTTCGATGACATCGATAATTATTTAATCATGCATTTGCTGTATTATTTAAACTTCTATATTCATATTCATCTTTTAGGGATCACAATAAGAGTTTACATGAAATCCCCTTACCTTTGCCCGTCCAAGAAATTTTTTCTCTAATTTCTCAGTGTTTGGAAGTAATGGGTACCAATGTTTTCCAAGTGCTCCACACTGCAAAAATGAAGTTCGTGAAAGTCAAAACAAAAATTAGGTACCATGAAGTTAAACCTAACAATGAAGCCATTGTTGATGTTACCCTACCTAGCAAATCATCATTCGGCAAACTAAACGTTTAGATGATTTGAAATCTTTCGGCAAATGTTCAAATGGTTAGATTTAGTCCATAAAAATTAAAAATGAGTGTTATAAGATTTGAGAAATGTGGGGTGTATAGAAAATGTGGAATGTATATACAAAATATAAGGTGTATATTGAGAATGTGGGGTGTGGGGTATTATGGAAAAGTACATGGGGTGTGTTAAGATAATTTTTAAGTGAAAAAGCAAATGTGGGGTGTATTAAGTATGTGAGGTTTATTCAACAATTTGTGGGGTGTTAATATAATAAGCCATAATAAAAAATAAAATAAAAAAACACCAAATCCACACCCAGATCCCCTTCCTTCCCCCTCACTTCTCTGCAACTCCCTCTTTGCGAGTCCCGCCCTCTCTTCCTCCATCACCACCTCCACTGCCCTGAAGGCAATCTCTAGCCATGTGCCCAGGCTTGCTGCAACTATAACACCCATTGCCACCGGCACCACCTTCATTCTTCCTATCATCGCCTCTCCATCCACCTCCAAATCCAGAATCGCCATCACCGCCACCGCGGCCCCTAGAGCAACCGAAGGTCTCCTTCTTGTTATCGACCAACGGCGCGGGCGCGCCGTTAGGTCCTGTCACATCGACTGCTTTGGTCTTGCTGTCATCACCGAAGTCTATAAAGAACTCGACGGACTCGCCCTCCATGATGGTGTGGAAATCGTTGGATCTGATCGAGGACTGGTGGACGAAGAGGTCCTCGCCTCCGTCGTCGGGGGTGATGAAGCCGTAGCCCTTGACGTCGTTGAACCACCTCACCTTCTCGGTCGATCTCTTCTCCGCCATGGTAAAAGGTTAAGATTCGAATATGGATTTATTCGAGGGTTTGAAAGTGATATATAGAGATAGAGGGACTGTGATTATATAGAGGAGAGACAGAGGGAGAGACAGAGACAGAAAAAGAAGAGTTGCAGTGAACGCAACGACAAATCTAAGGATGAATAGTAAAAGTATTTATTAATTTGTATTTATATAAAATGAAGTGATTATATAGAGTTGCAGTGAAGGTGATGGGTGTGTAGGACGGGGAGGAGGAAGAGTGCAGAGGTGGAGATGGAGGAAGAGATGGCGGAAGTTGCAAAGAAGTGAGGGGGAAGGAAGAGGATCTGGGTTTTTTTTTTATATTTTTTTATATTTAGTTAATTTTTTAAGGGTAAATATCAGTTTACTACCTTCATGTTTCGTGGTTTTCAACATTTAGTACATCAAGTTTTTATCGTCCCAGAGTCATACCTAAAGTGTAAATTTAGGACGGTTTCATGCATCCGTTAGTCAAACTGTTAAGTCTCCCGTTAATTGATAACGTGGCATCCATGTGGACAATGACTGGGCGCTACGTGTCAATAGGGGCCCACTTGAATATTAAAAAAATACAAAATAAAAAATTAAAAAAAAAATCCCCCGTCTCCTACGTCCCCCATCCCCCTCCCTTCCTTCCTCTGCAACCCACACTTCCTTCCCTTCCCTCTCCCCTCTGCAACCTGCAACACCTCCACCATTCATCTCCACACCACCACCTTCTCCACCATTCCTTTCCCAAGCCCCGCGAGACCAAAATCACCCCCAACCCTCCTCATTTTCATTACCGAGAAGCAATAAAAAACCAAAACAATAAAATTCAAAACTTTGCCACAAAAGGAAATTTCCTGAAAATCCCATCTTACGGAATCAGTACTTCCGAAACACGAGAAGGAAGAGGAACTCAATTAACCCTAGCTTCCGTACTGCAATCACACACAAAGACAATCGGAGATGGAAGACCAACACCAAAATTGAACCCAAAAAGATAATTGAAGTCGGAGGACTGGAAATTGGAGCAGCAAGACAGAGAAAGAAAGGTCGAACCTAAGGATGAGCTAAGAGGCCAGGGTGGTAGAGAGAATGCTGCTTGATAAGAGCATGCCGTATCAGAGCTTGTTGTTGATGCTGCTGCTTCAGCCTCTGGTGCTACATTTCTTTTGCGATTCTCTGAAAAAGTCTGGGTTTTGTCGAGAAATTTGAGGGTTAGGGTTCGAGCAGAGGGCCTCAGAGAGAGAAGAAAAATTATGGGTCTCAGGTTTGCAAAATCGTTGGAAAAAAAGGAAACAAAATCGTTGGAAAAAAAAGGAAAATGGCATTGTCTCTAGGGTCGGGGGAGATTTTGGTCTTGTAGGGTTTGGGGATGGGTCGGCTATGGCCGCCAACGACGAGGGTTGAGGTGCAGGAGAATGAGGATGAAGAAGATGGTGAGGGGTTAGGAGAGGAATGGTGGATGAAGTGGTGGTGTGGAGAGGAATGGTGAAAGTGTTGCGGGTTGCAAATGAGAGATGGAAGGGAAGGAGGTGCAAGTTACAGAGGAAGGAAGAGAGGGATGGGGATGAGGGAGGTAGGAGACGATGGTGATTTATTTTGTATTTTTGTATTAAATTTTTGTATTTTTTTAATATTCAAGTGGGCCCATATTGGCATGCGGCGCCTAGTCATTGTTCACATGGGTGCCACGTCATCAGTTAACGGGGGACTTAACAGTTTGACTAACGGATATATGAGACTATCCCAAAATTTACACTTTATGTATGACTCTGAGACGAAAAAAACTTGATGTACTAAATGTTGAAAACCACGAAACATGAGGGTAGTAAACTGATATTTACCCATTTTTTAATATAGTTGGAATTGAAAGTGAGCCTCATCTCAAGTCATGTCACTGTTTAATAGAAGAATTGACAGACAAACTAACGGAATGTATGAAATTGTAAGATGAGGTATGACATTGACATTTAAAAAAAAATGAAATATGAAAGTGTGATTAGTCCAATAATTGAAATAGTTTTATATAATTTACCTAAATAATTACTAAGATAACAAACCTAATACCCCCAAAAAGTTCTATTTATAATGTCTTTAAATAGAGATTCTGTTATAAAATTGACGATGTGTGCAGTGGAATGAATGAAACAATACACAAAATTTATGAGGTTCATCTACAATTAGTGTGACTGGAGTATGTCTTCGGGGCAGCAGTGATGTTTTTATTTATAATCTGAAATAATAAGATTACAAAGACAACTTTTTCTATTACCTCTTCTTTTCTTCCTCTCTCAGCCATATGACTTGTTGTTTCTCTATCTCTATCTACTATCCTCCTCATCAATTTTATAGGCAAAACTTTAGACAAAGTTACAGTGGGAAGACTGTAGAGTAAGATGAGTGGGATTGTAGTGGGTTGGCCATCCACATATTGAATGGCTTATAATATTACAACACTCCCCTCCCCCTTGGATGGCCATAAGTTATGACGCCGCTGCTGGCTATAAATCCAATCATTTTCACTTGCCTTATCTGTCCCCTAGGTAGAAGTGGTATGTTCTCTAGTTTTTCCCAAGCAGATGTGGCATCTTCTCTGGAAAGCCTTAAAATCTGAATCTGTGTTTTTTTTTTGTGCTACCCCTGATGAGTTTCTCCCCCTTATTTCAAATTCCTTAGACTGATGTTTTCCCTCAAGATGATGTATCTTTTTCACTTGCTTTATTTGTTGTTGATTTTCCACAGGCTTGTTCTTGAACTGGGCTGGAGGGCCTTCTGGTTTCCTCTAAATGTCTGAATTTACTTCATTTATCTAGAGCTTAATTTTATTCAAGAGTGGTGGACACTTGATCTTGAATCAGATTTGTGATTTATTTAAGGGCCTTGAGACTTGTTCTTGAATGAAATGAGACTATGAGCAGCTCCATGTGACAAATGATTTTTGGCTCCGTCAGGGATGAATCGGCACGTATTTTGTTGTGCTTGTCTCCACATGATTCAATGTATTATTTTCACTTGCCCCTTGCAGAAGTGGTATTTTCCCTAGTTTTTTCCCTATGCAGGTTTGGCATCTTCTCTTGTAATATTTGCCCTCTGATGCATGAGTGGAAAGCAAACCTTGCATTTGGATGTTCCTTCAAAACATCGTTTCTCAGTGATTCATCATGCTTGGCAGCTTTAGTGTAAAGAGCCAACAGTGGACCAATTATTCTGCGATGTTGATGACTTGAGACCCAGCTCCATCAACAGTTGAAGATGGTTACTCGAGAGCAATACTAGGTAAACAATCAGGAAAGTTTCTAGGCAGTCGGTTCCTTACTAGAACTTTGATTGGAGGTTCCGACATATTGCTTTCTTTATCCTTGTCTTGCAGGTAAGAACAAGTACAAAGGAAAGGACATAAAGATTGCATGATATGAGATACTCTTACTCTCGACCCTGATGATATGAGATACTCTTACTCAGGTGTGACTTGTTTTGAAGAGGTATTCTTGGAGAGAAAGAAAATTGAATATGTTGAGAGGTTTGGTTGCAGATACATTTTTGGCAATGAGAGAGAGTTAAGAGTTTTGGATGTGTGCCTTGCCATGGAGGATGAAGGTCGACATATATAAGGATTTCCCCAATAGCAGGTAGTGTGGATCTGGCTTTGTCATCCACGCTTATCGGCAACAGTGTTGTAGTTGGAATAGTGAAATTCACGCGTTTTCAACTTTGTTATAGATATTTTGACAAAGTTGCACGTGATATCCAAAAAAATGAGATTGCGTCTGAAAAATGTTGATTGACTTTATGCAGAGAAATCCGGCTTTTGAAATTCGAAGAGCAATGTTTCTTCGATTTTTGAACAGGTGGCCATGTTGCTTCTTATTTATAAAGGTATTAATTGTATTTAAATTTACACACTTTGAAGATTTACCACTTGTGAGAATTGTCACTGTTGTATTTATGAGATTTCACTATATCCAACATTTTTCTTTCATCAATTTCTGAAAATGGCTTGCCCATCTAACATTTGCTTAGATTTAAGTCTTAGGACTGATACGGATGAGCCGCGTCAGGATAATATATGGCGCCCGTCATTCTTGTCTTCAAATAGTCATCTTACGGTTGGAGACTCTGTGATGAAGAATAATATAATTACTACAGTAGTTGCTAGGAAGCTTTTCACTCCAAAGGATAACAGAACCCTTTCAAACTGGTCTGATGAGGCAGCCGTTCAAGACTCCTTGGCTTTCAATGTTCAATGTGCTGGCTCCGTTTCTAATATGGGCCAACGCCTACTTGCTCGAACTCGCCAAGTTGAATCATTCATAACTGAGGTGGTAAGTCTTAAACAAGCGATCAGAGGGCTCATGCACGAGAATAGAGTCTTACACAGGCTTACAAATAATTACTCAATAAGCATGAAAAGAAAGCTTGACCAACTGCTGGAATCTGAAAGTTGGACTCAAAGTGACAATCAGAGGTTTGATGCTTTATTCCAAAGGCACCTATTGCCTTCGCCATTTGGAGGTTTACCAAGTACTGAGGCTCTAAATAATCAACCTTCGGTGTTTTCTCTTTCTGGGATACTTCCGAGTACTAAGGTTTCACATGAGCAACCTTTGTGAAGGCTTCCTTATGTTTTTATGTGTATGTACATGTCTGTAATTTCTCAAAGATATCAATAAATAAGCTTTATTTCATTCAATGTATTGTGTCAAATACAATAAAGCATATACTTCACTAAGATGTGGTACTTCTGGGCCAAATATCAATTCATTTTCTCCCTCACGAGGATGAATGATTTTTCTTAGTGTCTAAATATTAATAACCACTTGAGTGTTCAACTCATGATTTTCAATCCAAATGATTCTTTAATATCATAAACATCATGGATATGATTCGTGTTTGCATATTGTTTGATCTGCAGTTTGAGACAATATTTCTCTCAACACTTTATAATCTCTCTTGACTCTTCAGGAGTTCTAATAATATCAAGAGATTTTAGTATGTTG